TACAGGATACAGGATGAGTGTCGGTTAGCCATACTTTGGGAAAAATTACTCCCCTTGGATGACGTTTCGGCAATTACCTCTCCCCTTTTTCTCATATCACGATGAAAACTCTTATTAAAACATCAATATTTCATTTTTATGGTATTATGGTGTTTGAGAAAAGAGGTCATTTGCGTAAACCTCTGAACAAATTTGGTATTCAAGTCAATGCGGGAACGCAAGGTGTATGTTACCATTTGGTGACAACAATTCAACTTTCTAAATATCCCTTATACGGATAACATGCTTGTTGAAGAACATCGAGTAAAACAATGTCAACTTACACGGCATTGGTTTATTACAAAAAAGTAATAGTGATTGAATAATGACTCCATGATACCCATGGAAGTCGCTTCAATATTGCCATTACTTCATACTCGTATTATAATAATAATACCATTTATTGCCCAACACCCAATTACAGGACATGATAAAATACAACAGTACTGATAAGTAGTAGATGAAATAACAAATTAACAAATTATGTTATTTTTTTTCAAAAACTACACCTCACGATTTGATCTCCACAAACGTTATTTGAAAAATATATCACAAGACATTAGCTTTTGCAAGTGATTTATTATAAATCACAAACATTAGCTTTTTCAAGTGATTTTCAAGTGATTTATGATAAATCACTTGAAAAAGCTAATGTCTTAGCGAAACATGTTGTGATATATTTTTCAAATAAAGTTTGTGGAGATCAAATCGTGAGGTGTAGTTTTTGAAATTACTATGGATCTTCATCAAGTAACGGCCGAATCAATCAGAAAAAAATCATGTTCAATCTTGACATGATATATGTATATAAGTTAACAATGATATATATCTTTGAATAGAAAACAAAAGAAAGGAAACTGATAGTATAACTATTCATGACCATACTTGGTAAAAGTGATGATAATAACTGTCTCTCTTACAACACAAAAGAAGAAAAAACACATTTGATATCACTATCTAATTTTCATTGCAACTTTTTTTAAAGATTCGCCGAGCACGTACCTATTAATATCGCAAACACATATACAGTGCATTCCATTTGAAACGAGCCACCCCGAATAACTTTTGGTACAATGATTTTCAGGAAATATAAAAAAACTGTGGTCACCTGAAATTCCTGCCCAACCATTCAGTTTTTGAGGTCATTGGGTATGAACTTGACGGTATAAATGTGGATTCGTATCACTTCAATATCTTTTGCCGATTCACCTCTCCATTCAAACTAAACGTACATTCATCCGAAAAACAAATTTCATACAAGAAATTTTGTTGCAAGTTTATCCGTTCAGTGAGACTTTCACAAAATTCGAAACGTCTATCGAAATCATCTTCGTTCAATTCACGAACTACTCTAATCTTATACTGATGAAATTTGAACTTATGAAGGATCCTGAAAACATTTGTACGACTGATTCCTGATTGTCGAGATAACTTAGTAAGATATGGCGAATTTTCCAAATCTGCTCATCATGGAGCATATGATAATACGAAACAAGAAAGGGTGATCCGTTTAAAAAATTTGGTGACATGCTTGTACATTTTCTAGAGCTGATGTATACTACAGTATTCGAATCTACTTCTGGATTGTGCAAAATCAATGCTTTTGAGGAAATCGAATGACTTGAAGTCCTTGCAGTTTCTGTCCAAAAAGTCTAAATTTTTAATTGAATTTGAGTGATCAGAAAACGTCAATTCAAGTCCTTCGATTGAATATTTGGCGACAGAGATTTTCCGCCAAGAAAATAATTAAATGTGCGTGGAACGATATTACGGGTGAAAATTATAAATTTACTTCTAACTGTATTCAAATATCGTTTGTTACGAAAACACGAGTTGCTAAAGCACAGCAAAATAGTTTAGAGGATTTTGAAAACGGATGGTTGCATTTGAAAATATCAAATTGACTGGGGTATATTAAAAGCTATCAGGTGTGTTTCGGGATTGTCACTTGTTACTGTTGGCCTTTAGTCAGGTATATTGAATTTAATATTTCCATCATAAGATATAAACAGTTCGATGAGGTGATATTGACTGTCAACAGTGAAATAGTTGTATAAAAATATTCTCAATAATTTTTTCACATTCTTGAAATGATGCAGAATTTTGCAGAAAGTAAAAAAAATCTTTTGACATCTTGAATTCATAAAAATCAAGACGAATATTGCTTTTTTCTCAGAGATACTTTTTTCCGCTGCCTCTACACATTTTTAAAAAGCGCCATCTAATTCAAAATAGTGTTTTGTTTGACATTGTTATCGAAGACAACTATAAAGCCGTCTTCATTTATTTCCTTGAACTTGGCCTGGCCCGACTTATCCAAGTTTTAGTGAATGAACTGAATATACTGCATGGGCGACAGGTGCAGTGTTTCACTTGCACAGCCTGGATGACAGGAATGTGTTTGTTTGTAATGGATTTGTAACGGATAGCTCCAGACAAGCAGTCTGTCATGAGTTATTCATGAATTATGCGGTGGGTACAGAGCGGTATTAATGTAAGATAAAAGAATGGGGAAGCATCTGTATTTGTACTTTTAGTAGAAGGAAAAAATAGTGTTTCATAGAGGATTTCAGATTTTTTTATTTGAAAACTGATAAAGTCATTCAGATATTTCAAAATTGAATATTCCTCGATTTCCCTACGTTTTTATTGAAAAATATAGGCCATTTAGGAAGCTCAGAGAAAATAATGACGATATTTCTTAACTTCAGTAAACTGACTATTTGTCTGCATTTTGTTCGTAATATAAAAGTCAGATTATTTTTTTGAACAAAAAATGCTATGATTTTCATTAAACCTGAGTAACTAAACTTGACTATATTCTAAACATGTACGTAATATCTGAATGTAAACACTTGATACTTAGTCCATCATCATATTTCTCATTGTTTAACTGTTATATCAGTTTGTTTCTTAACATATCAAGCGGCCGGTATCGTGTAATATTGAGGAGTTATGAAATAAAATAAGAAAAAAATAATTTGGAAGGTCCTAGGTAGCAGTCATCACACCACTCTCCCTCTCCTCAGCAATCTACGGTATTGATCTGATAAAAAAAATATATAAAATCGTTGGGCGTGGCGTAACTTGAGTATACATATAAATACTAAAACGCCCAACGATTTCATTAATTTTTTTATCTGATCAATACCGTAGATTGCTGAGCAGAGTGAAGTGATGACTACTACCTAGACGTTCCGAACTATTTTTTAAATTTTTGTGTATTATCTACACCATTATTATTTTTTAATAAAACCGTTTGATTAATTTTTTTTTACTTATTTTAGTTCAGTTTTATTATTATTTACCATATTGTTTCCACGAGTAATAAACATTACAATGGTCGAGTGCCTGAGTCTTGAGGGGAAAACACTTAACGACATATCATTTTTATCCACCCCAATGCCACAAAGTTTTCGGCATGTTTCAACCTTTTACCTTAACTTGGGTGCTGTACCGCTAACGTCGTACCATTTTTAGCCACCCTAACTCCATAAAGTCCGATACGATACAAAATCTTGACTTGGGTGCTTGTAACACTTTTTTGAGTTGACAAAGTTATTTGTATAGATTATATTGAATTTGCGTCTTTTTCATAGTGTACTACTATAGTATTAGTCAAGCACTATCATTTGATACACATACTGAGGTAGTTATGAAATATAATGTAATCCGCCATTTTTTAGTCGCGGCCATCTTGAATTTGCATCTTTTTCAAAGTTTACTACTAGTCTATTGATCAAGCCCTCTCATTTGATACCCGTATTGATGCAGTTGTGAAAATTATGTGTTCCGCCATTTTGTAGCTGCGGCCATTTCGGATTTACAATGACACATGATTTATTAAATTGTATTGTCATCAAAACTAAATGTGTTTGCCAAATATCAAATCAATCTGTCAACAGAAAGGGGGTCAAACTTCAATTCCTGAATTTGACCCAAACAAACAGGGCAAGCTAAATAAAAGCGTTCTAAACTATCGCGCAAGAAAATAAATTCAAGCGGCGTCACAAACCGATGCGACTCGTATGATGGAAAAAGGCAAGATTGCAATTTCCACTTGTGTTGTCTTTAGGTAGATAGGTACTTACCTATTTCAAAATTAGGGTCATTATTATTAGTTACCAACTGATGAGACACTACAGCGAAATGAATGTTTAGTAAATCGATATATTCAAAATTCAAACTTGAAAGATAACAGGAAACGGCACACTAATGGCCATATTTTTCATTTTGGTTTCCTCTGATACGTTCAACTCAAAATTCCGGCCCTAAATTAATTTCTACTCTAAACTTACAATGTCATTATAGACTCCAACATCATATTTGATGTGGTGATGTGGAAAATAAACTTCATTTACAGAATGAAGTCTGTCGGGCTTGATGTTGAAAGTGATTCTGTTTTTGGATGAATTAACGGTGATGAAGCGAGGAGCGAGAGACTATTTGATGGCTCATCATTTCGTCTCTGAACATTTTCATAACTGTAACTTCGTACTGAATGAACAGGAAAAATGTCACATGTTTGAGATCATACCAGCGATGAAATCAACAGATCATATTAATTGTAAAAATAACATACGAAACCACTGCACATAATTTGAGATGATAGGCGTTAAAAATAATACTTTCGTCAATACACTTCATAACTCCAACGAAACAACGTGCGATCGTATTTCGAAATGAAAACTATCAGGAACGATCCTGTTTGGCAATTGGCATTCCACTAGTCTTAATAATTTTTTAAAATGATAGAGATTTTCACTAGTCAAACAATAATTAAAATCTTCGCGTTCAATGGTTCAAGATCTTTCAGCATGGGTTAAAAAAAGCTCAAGCTCATCATTATGATATGTCTTCAAGTTTTCACATTAACCACAACACAACATCGTCAGCTTAGGCGGCGAACCCGCTTCTTTTTTGATTTCTTTGAAAATAATGGAATAAAATGGACTACTCACCAGCATCAAAATTCTCCTTCAGCCTCCTCCACTGCTTAGCTTGATGCAGAGAGTAGAAGGCGATCACTAGAAAAAACAGGATACACGTAAATACCGCTGACGTCAGCGCAATGGCTTGCCAGTCCCACACTAGTGTTTCCGCACTAGAAAACGGCGCTTGCGAACTAGCCGCTTCCAAAGGAACGGGTTGCTGGGGTTCTTCATGTACGATATCCTGGTGGTCATTCTTGATGTCATCTCCGTACCGCCAAATGATTTCGCCCTCCTCCTTATGGTGTTTCTGGTGATGGTGGTTGTGTTTGTGTCTATGAGGATTTGCGGTTTCGACTCCTCCACCCATCGTTTTGAGTAATTCACTGAGGGGGGCACAGTGGGTATCTCTATGAAATTCACATGGTCGAAGTACCACCATTCCATTTTTACACTGCGTGCAGTTCAGGCATTGTTGGAGTTCGGCATTGAGGTACTGTTTTTCAGGGCAGATTGATGCTAGTGCTAGAGAGTTCAGGCATGACAGCAGCAGGGAAGAAGTGAAGGTATACGAGGAATTGGGACACTCGGATATGAGGTTGGTTAGGACCTCGTTTAAGGCCAGATGGGGCGATGACAAATATGTTGTTTGTCGTTCGCTTCAGCCTATTACGTGGAATGATACTCTGAAAGGAATCGAGTTTTAATTATGGGAAATCATCGACTTCATGTTGATGATAGACACTACCTTGCACTGAAGAGAGGCCAAATAGCCAGAAATCGGTCTGCAAGAGTGCTCGTTTCAATAATGCAGGACATTTTTCTGTGAAGAATCCCGCACCGACACCTGTCGGATATAATCCAACGCCCTCCGTGATATAAGCCAGGGCAGTAGTCGTTTTCTGATAGGTGTCGGACCAGTAACCTACAGTATAGGTTAGTTGAGACTGGCTTGAATGAACTGTTCTTTCAGGTAATTTGTTTTGCAGTGGAAATATATACAGCCCATGTTATCTTTACAATAACTATTGATCTTGACTTACTCTTGATTTTTTGAAAGTGACATTCCCAAAAAAAGTTGGAGACTACAGTCATACAAAGCAGGATCATGTCTGAATGAGAAATTTCTTTGGGAGTCTGTTGTGATCTGAAGTGCGCTATTGACACCGTGGATTACGATATTTCGTTACAAAAATCTAATGGAATGAGAGGCACCGATACCAGTTTGTTTGAAACGTCATGTTTTCATTCGCAAAAACTGAAATATAGATGGGGTATCACAAGTACCTGTCTTTTCTATTATTTATATTCATTAATGAAATCACAAACTATTGGGTTAAAACAATAATGCTAAAGAACACTGAACGAGTATTGGAATATCGTTGTTTATAAAATAAACTTTTGTACATGCCCTACACATCTTTATACGGTGTTTTCGAGTTACTTTATTGATATAGCCGAAGAAGTAGAGAGCCAAAAACTTGTTTTTTCAAAGAACTGAAATTTTCTAAAGAAATTATTTGCGGTTATTCTCAATTGGTAATATTGCATGTATCTATAAACCTGTACAGTAAAACGATTCAAATAATTCGATAACTGACGTTGAATTGCAGAGTACTTGTTGAAGGATTGTCTACAACTTCTTGGAATGTGTCATTATTGATCTTGATTTAGCAGAACGTTCAACGTGTGCAGTTAGAGATTCAGTTTCGCAGAGCTCAGTATCTACTCTTGGAGAAAGTTCTTCCTCACGTTCTTGGTAAATTTGACGGGCTTCTGCAGTACCTACTGCCATTAGCAAGCCCAATAAATGAATGCATTTGTGCTAATTTGGTGTTTTTCATATTCATTTGATGGGGTATCGAGCCCCCAAAACTGTCTCATGGTAACATTGACTTCTACTTAGGCAAAGATCGGAATTCTGTGACCGCTGCAATTTTAGATCAGTCTTATTGCAAACGTCTTATGTACCTTTTTGCATGACCTTAGAAAATTTAACACAGTCGAGAGTGGTGAGGAGATTCACTTCAGTTATACTTTGAGTTAATCAAAATGGAGATGAAATATTTTCAATACTTTGAGAAATTTTTATCGACAAAGAAAAAAACAAAGATTTTCCTCAAATAATGTATAAAAACAAAACAATTGAACAAAAGTTTTAGCTACGATCAGTCGTCTGACTCAATAGGCAAAACATAATTTCTGTTTTAAAAAAAAATCTGTTTAAAATCTGTTTTTCCGTTAATCAGCTGTCGCTCCCATATGAACGACAACTCTCAGAAGTTGAGAAACTTGTGCGAGCTAAGAACTAACGAGGTCTTACCTTTTAACGTGTGATTCCGAACACGGAATATTTACCGGGTACAAGGTATCCCCCTGTATATTAATCTGCCGCGCTTTAGTGAATTCCGAAATCCCCGCTTGGGCTTCCCTATTAATACACTTCATAACTCCAACGAAACAACATGCGATCGTATGTGCTGCAGTTCAACTTCGAAATAAAAACTGTTAGGAAAGATCCTTTGGCATTCCACTAGTCTTACTAATTTTTTGAAATGATAGTGATTTTCACTGGTCAAACAATAATTCAACATCTTCGCGTTCAATGGTTCAAGATTTTTCAGCATGGGCAAAAAAAGCTCAAGCTTATCATTATGACATGTCTTCAAGTCTTGACATTAACCGCAACACAACATCGTCAGCTTAGGCAGCGCACCCACCTCTTTTTTGATTTCTTTGAAAATAATGGAATGAAATACTCACCAGCATCAAAATTCTCCTTCAGCCTCCTCCACTGCTTAGCTTGATGCAAAGAGTAGAAGGCGATCACTAGAAAAAACAGGATACACGTAAAAACCGCTGACGTCAGCGCGATGGCTTGCCAGTCCCACACAAGTGTTTCCGCACTAGAAAACGGCGCTTGCGAACTAGCCGCTTCCAAAGGAACGGGTTGCTGGGGTTCTTCATGTACGATATCCTGGTGGTCTTATATATAAAATAAATAGATAAGTACTTTTTGATCATTCCCATATTGATTCCAATTTAAGAGCCACCGGTAGACAGCTGTTTCAGCCTATTGGGCATCGTCAGTACCGGGCAGACGGTTTTCGATTGAAGACAAAATGGGAAAAAAACCAAGAAAGTACTTGATAAAAATAGCTGCGTAAACGCAAGCGAAACATAAGTGGAACCACCTTTTTCGCATTGTTCACCAGCGCTATTGGAATCATTACATTGGAAAAAGTCTGCGTTGTTATCACACTCGTTATTACTATTACTACTTGTCCAAGGAAGACACATTTCAAACAGATAACAAAAATTTTAAGTAATTATATCTGCACCAATATCGAATTTCAACACTCAAATCACGATCAGTTCCTGAACTGAACATTGACGACACAACGGCGGTATTCATCGCTACATTCTATTGGTCACCGTAACATGACTTCACATTTAATTGTATGACTCTTCAGCCAATCATAAAACTCGGTTAGTAGAAATTATCCAATACGAACCGCCAGTTCTTCAGTCCACGTGGACTAATTCGTAGCGGCATTATTTTTTTGTATTGGTTTTTTTGGCCTTTGAGTACGCCGATAGCTTTAAGAATTACTATATCAGTTACTTCGACTATCCTAAAAGGATTGGTTTCAAAGCGGTCTCAACTCAAAATCATGCTCATATATTATAGTTTTTGAAATATAATTATGCAAGTCAATCAACTAACCGAAATGTTAGGATGATTATGTTATAAACCTAATTTCTGACTTAATTCTTGTAACTCTTGGAAAAATAAATGTTCATTATCCTTCTATATACAAGTTCGAAATGTGATTTGAACAAAAGATGATTATACGAAACGAATATGTGTCACTTAATTAAGTTCCTATTGAGTTTCCTTCCTTTTGGGAGTTCTGCAACCTTCCTTGAAGTTGAGCATTCCGTAAGTTATAGTCAGCATTGAATAATTCAGCAAAAATATGTGTATTTATACAGGCCCCCACAGACGTCGTTCTTTTTCGTCAGGATTACCCGACGTGCAAGGAACAGCAAGGTTTCATTGTCGACTTGATATAACAAGATTCAAACGATTAAAATTATAAAAATATAACTAAGCATTCATCGATCTTTTTTCTTTCATCTCTAGCAATTAGCCTTCAGAAATTGATCGTGGACACGAATAAATATCATACAAGAACAGTTGGCGGTTTTTTGAATAAATTCAGCGAACGTATGTGCCTCTTCATCTAATGAATCTGGGCGACAGAACACAATAAAATTTGTCAAGACTCTGAAAGGACAACACATGCCGTGTAATTGCTTTTTGTTCACAATCCTAGAAACTGTTCTAGTTGAACTCAACGAGAACAGTGGTGTAGTAAATGATAATTTTTCGTTGAAACCAACGCTTTCCTTGATTCACCATATCATTTAAACAACTACGTGAGTGTTCAAAAAATTAGGTGAATGTTCAAATTTCGCGGGCTAAGTACATTCGATTAGCAATGTTTTTATTTTTTTATATTGGTACACTCTTCTTGAAGATATATTCACAGTTTCAGCTGTTTAGCATATTTAGTTTGTTGGTGAGATGCATAAGAATTAGAACTGTTTTGCGTGTTCAGTGATTTTCTTCTAGCGAAGAGAATGAAACAAAGAATTTGCATCACATTTTGGGTAAAAAATTGTATTAAGTGCTCAAAAACATTTGAAATGTTGACAGCGGCAAACGGACATTGTACTCTGAGCCAGAAAACTGTTTACAAGAGTTACAAGCTTTTCACAGAAGGTCGAGTAATTAAGAATGACGACACTCGCCCCAGCACATCAACAACCGACGAAAATGTTGAGAAAGTGAAGGAAATTGTTTTGGAGAATAGTCGAAACAATATCTGAGTCATTGCTGAGGATGTCGGCATATCAGTTGGCTCATGCCGGAAAGTTTGGGCATGAAGCATGTGGCAGCGAAGTTCGTTCCGAAATTGCTGAATTTTGACCAAAGAAACCGTCAAGAGTATTACTCAAGAATTGTTGAATGACGTCAACGGTAGTCCAGATTTGCTCAGAAGGGTCATATTTAGTGACGAATCATTGGTATGGTTGAAAATATAAAACTCAAGATCAATTTTGTCTATCTCAACGAGTGTCAATGAGTTTTTTCTCAAAGGGAATGAATTGTTCAGGAACCTGACTTAATTTTCACAATCTTGAAAACACGCATTTTTCAATTAGTAACGTTCATGAACTATGGTGTATATCATACAACATGTTATAACTGTTATGGTGTATTTGGTCAAAACAATTAGTGTTGGTGAAATTACTATTTATATAAAATATTACAAGTACCTGAATAAAAATTACAATTTTAAACAAGACAGGTAAAGAATACGGAAAATACATGTGAAATGGTCAAAATAATTTCAATTGGCAAGAGGATACCTAGCATCTGGCATCGATCGATAAGATTTGAAGCTGACGTGAAGCTGACAATGTTTTCTCATACAATGATTTTATAAATTATTTCATTTATTGGATGTTAGATTATCAGCCAGTAACATAGGCTGAT